GCTGGAGCTGTTTACATTCTTGCAGGGTAGATGGGCATCTAGTCCAGGATCACCTCCCTTTTCCATTCATCCTCTTTTCCCCTCCTATTTGGAGTAACAGCTGACAGGAGATTAGTTCTGCAGACTGGTGCATGTTTCATGAGTAGCTCAGGCTGTGGCTGGTATCACAGAGCTCTGGTGGAAGCTCAGGGCGTTGGTCCAGGGAGAGATGAATGCTGCATCCCCATCTCTTCTCCCCAGGTACTCACTGGATGCAGTGTCTCCTTGGCCACAGGTCTCTCATGTCTCGGTCCTTAGTGCCTTGTGGGTGGCTTGAAGCTTACTCTGGAGCCTTTTCCTTAAACTATTACCCTTAAAGTCACCCAGTCATTAAGTTCTTGAACAGATGCTTTTGTCCTGCCCATGGCTGCAGAAGTGAGATGACAGGAAAGCTTCTTCAGGGAAGGCTCACAGGAGTGGCTGGACAGCCTGCACCTCCCATGGTCAGGCTCTGGTATCCCCCAGCATGAGCCTTGTCTGCACATGCAGGACTGGTGTGGTCTGGTCCCCAGCTGTGCAGTGCTGGGGGTGCTGCTGCAGGTCTCCTGGCAGCATGGGCAGCAATGATCCCCTCCAGGCACAGACCTTGCTCCCCTCAGCAGCCAGGGCAGTGTGGTGAGGAGCTGCCCTTGTCAGCAGGGTCCTTGGCCTTGGAGTTCCTGCTGGAGCAGCTGTCTGCAGTGCTGAGAGCTCTGTAGCCTACTGCCCTCCCTTTTGGGTTCCTGCTCTGGCAGAACTTACAGGATTGGACTCTGCTGTGGAGCACCTGGGGCAGGGCAGGGTTGGGGGGATACTGACCAAGGCTGCAGGGGCAGCATGGGGAGGGCATGGGGCCCTGTTTTCACACCAGCACTGACACCTTGGCCTTTTTCAGGCTCCTGGGGATGCTGCTAGCCACCCTGCGCCTCCCTGCATGAGCCAGCGGAGGATGGAAGTGACCGAAATCAGCTGGGCAAAGGACCCTTCACTGCGTGCTGGGATGTCATCCCCCTGAAGATGGGAGTTACAAATGGCCTTGTGAACTGCACACGAGGCACAGGCGCCTGCGCTGCCAGACCCCTCACACGGTAGTCCAAACCTGCCACAGGACAGGCAGACTTTGGCCACAGAAGCTCCATCGTGTTAATTCCTCTGTGAGAACATCCGTGGAAAAGCTTTCCTTCGCTCCCCGTGCGTGACGGTTGTGGGTGCCTGTGCCTGCCGGCGGGGTGGGCAGCAGGCTGTGCGTCACCCCGTTCCCCAGCGAGACCAGTGGCAGCCAAGCACAGAGCCGTGCAGCTCTGTCCCTGGGGACAAATGCCAGCTGCCAGACTCTTCTCTGGAGACCCAGGAGCAGCCTGCGAGGCACCAGCACTGACTGCTCCCATGCTAGCAGCAGGCAGTCCAGGACTCCTCTTGTCACAGATGTGACTCGTGCTGGGACAGGAGTGCTCCAGCTGCAGGGCACGGCATGCAGCAGGGATGGGGATGTTCTGCATTGACCAGGCAGCCTCACGCTGCTAGTGTGGACTTTTCTCCTACTCTTCCCTAAAGGATGCTAACTGCCTGTCCAAAAGCTCCTGCTCATGCAGCCTCCTAGAGTGCAATGGCGAAGGGTCTGCAGGGCTTCTTGTGGACCATGCTGCTGCTGTTCTGCGCCATCCAGGAGCTGGGGTCCTGGGCCATGCACACGGCGGTGGAGGGCCCTGGCCTAGGGCAGCCAGGGGACCCTGCACTGTTGGCCGGTGGGCGAGTGAAGCGTGGCTGGGTCTGGAATCAGTTCTTTGTGGTGGAGGAGTACACGGGCACGGAGCCACTGTACGTGGGGAAGGTAAGCTAACCCGATGTCTCCGTGGGGCTGACAGAGCCAGTGGCAGAGCAGACATGCTGGCAATGTTGAGGGGAGAGTTAGGTCTTGTTAGAGAAGTACTCTAATCACTGGGACAGCAGGACCTTGTCCCTGCTGGTGGTGGTGAGGTTAATCTGCTCCCAGAGTCTAAGGCAGGAGCACACCAGAATTCACATCTATGTTCTTAGTTATGTACTGGGTTCCTCTAGTGTTTGGAGAACAAGAAGCCCCATCTCTGTGGTTGCTGCTGAGCAGGACTGGGTCTGTTGGTGGGAGCTTGCCACTTCTCTGGGAGCTTCCCTCCCTGGTGACCTTCTGGGGAGATTGGACATGGACCTCTTCCTCCACTCCTGCTGTCCTGAGAGTGAAGGAGCGTTTTGCTTTGGTGTTGCTGGGCTTTATCCTTACCTGGGAGCTGAGAAGAAGCTGCCCCGTGGCTCCCACCTGTCAGGAAAATGTGTTCTTTGTATACTGGTGAAGGCAGTGCTAGCTATTGGGACCAGTTGGAGGAGCACACTGCAATCCACCTAGAGCTAGGGGCATGGGCTCACCCAAAGGAAGGTGCCCAAGAGCTTGTACAGCATGGCTGTCTGATGGCCTCAGCCGTCTGGGCATGAGTCTGGAGGAGGCTTGAAAATGGGTTTCTTGGCCGGGGGCCAGCTGGGATTTCAGCAGTGATTTGTGTCCGTTTCAGCAGACACTCAAAGCCGCACTCCTCTGCCGCCCTCGGAGCAGGCACAGCTAATTCATGGCTCCCCTGGGAGCAGCGAAGGCACCAGGCCCTGTCACAGGCCTGGCAATGCCTTGGCTCCGAATGAACCGAAACCTATAACTTGCCCATTTTACAGCCCCTTTCCACATCACCCACCAAACCACCCCACGCTGCTCGGAACAACAGTCAGGCAGCACCGAGATCACTCCCTATGGACACTGCTCCCCAGGGCTGAAAGCCACCAGGGCCAGGCTTCTCCTGGGGCTGGGAGAAGATAGAGTGCCTGCCTGGGGTGGCCAGGGTTGGGGTGGCCTGTGGCAGTGTGGCAGCTCTCCTGGCACAGCCTGTGGGTCCAGAGCCTTCCTGCACAGGGTGACCCTGTGGGGTAGCTGGGGCTTGCCCTGGGTGGATGCCTCCCACACACCTATGTGTGCTTTCCAAAGGGCCGATACCATTTCCATAAAATCTGGGTTCTCTAGCTAATCCTTCTTCTGAACTGTAATTTCCCCTGAGGCTGCTGTCAGTTTGATGTGGATTTCTTTGGGTTTTTTAAATAGAATTATGGGGTCAGCACTAGTTACAAACTTCTGCATGTGGACAGATCTATTTTAGATAGAGGAGAGGATTAAAGGGAAAAAAGCAGATTTAATTAAGTTGCTAATATTTAAAGAAAATTGATGAACTTGGGCTTTATGAGTTGGAGCAAACAGAGTGCGCCTTTATTACGGGCTAGTTTTTATTTGATTTGCTTTCTTTTCTAGCCCCAGAGTCATTTTTTATTTGTGTATCTGTGCTTTCTGTTTAATTGCTTTTAATAAGGAATGTGCACCTCTGTTCACATTTAATTTTGATTTAATTATTAGTATGTAATTAATGGCTTCGTAAAAATCCTGGTCGTAGTCTTTTAGGACAAGGAAACTCTTTCCTGTTTAACAAACAGAACAGATCAGCCTTTTGCCCACCCTCTAGACACCCTAGTGCTGCAGGTGCTGCTGTCCTTGGCTGGGGGCAGGGCAGGGGTGGGGTGTCCCTCTGCTCCCAGGGCACAGCACTGTGGGCAGCCCCAGCCAGCACAGCTCTGTGCCAGGACTGTGTGACTTCACTCTCCTGCCATGCCCAGGGGTGACGTGGTCCTGGAGGCTGCATGGGAGTGTGGTACTCCCCAAGCCTGCCCACTGTAATAGCAGGGCCAGGAGGAGAGAACATCCCTGGGATGAGGTCTGGGCCCATGGCATCTCCCCTTGGGTGTCTGTAGTCTGTGATCCAGCCCTCCCCCATTAGTTGTTGTTTAGCCAAGCAGCACAGATTTAGCTCTTTTAATCTTCCCCTTGTAAATCAATCTCTGCAGCCCCTTGAGCCCAGGCTCCATTTTTCTTCCTAGCATTCAGGTTTGCAGGGATGCTGGTGTGTGCTCTGAGCAGTCAGCGATGAGCAAATATATGAAGAGCATGTGCTGAGAGCTCAGTGTGGTGCTGGGAAGAGGTGCTGGGTGCTTTATCTCTGGCCTAATTATTAATCATGAGCCTGGTGTTCAGCAGAAAAATGCAGTTTCTGTTACCTGCACTGTGCAGACCTGGTGCTCTTTTTGGTTCTGAAAAGCTTGATCTCTTGCAGAGCAGCAGTGAGCACTGGGGAGAGGATGATAAAGTAAAGAAGGCAGCAAGCTCTCCAGCAGCTGGCAGGGAGGGCTGGGACTAGATGGCCAAGGTGGGATGTCCATCCCTGCAGACCAGTGCAGGATGCTCCAGCTAGCTGGGGCAGAATGACCACCCCTCAGGCACATCCCAAGAGGCACTGCCCCATCAGATCTGCAGCTGAGCCACCACGATGGTCCCAGATACTGCTGGGCTCACAGCCCTGTTTGTGAGCTGAGTGAAGGTCTCCTTCCAGGCAAGCCTTGGGAGATGTGTCACCACGGGCAGTAATTTGTGAATGTTGTGCAAAATGCATTGAATTGTCTAACGTGTGGGTCCCTCACTCATGAAATAAATACATAAACTGTATCTAACAAGACAAATATAATGAAGGCATCGTAAAAAAGAGGCAGCTCTGGTATAAATTCTTGCTGGTAGGGCTGTATGTCTGAGAGGTGGATTATAGAACTGCAGTTTGGAAGATTGAATGGCCCATAAACATTTTCATATTTCATTAGCCGATTAATGGACAGCTTTTTTCTTTTTTTTGGAAGGGGGACATGACTTTGCTGATTCTAAGCAGAAATTGTAGGAAACAAATGAAAGCAGCTGATGAAACCTTTCTGGGGGCCTGTCCCGTTATGGATTGTCCCAATTAATGCCCATGCTGTGCTCTGTCAAGATGCATTCTGCCTGTCCAGTTACTGTTAATAGATTTCTCATAAGTGGCTGGATTGTAAAAACCTCATAACTCAGTTTAATGCCACCAATAAAATTATCTCTGGACGTCTGGCCTGGATTCCAGTCAGCTCCTGGTCCGTGGGGAAGTGCTATTTACCCTTTCTTTTCCTAATTTCAAACATTGACTTAATTAGAAAATTAAGCAGAGATTGGCTGCAAAAGCATCTTTCACAGGGTCTGTTTTCAGTCCTGAACACAAGCCTTATTGTCACCTTCTCCTGTAGGCTCTGCCCGAGTGGTGCTCTGGGTGTGATGTTGGGATGGGTTGATGTCCTGTTACCCTGCCATGCAAACCCAGCACAGGGGTGCAGTGAGTGTGTGAGCTCTCAAACAGGGACACTTGTCAGCAGCAGCTGCCCTGAAATGAAGGATGGCTCTGGCTGGGGGAGAATGGATAGATGAGAGTGAACTTTGGGCAGCTGGCTGTGCAGAGGGGGATGGATGCTGGTGGTAATGTGCGTGTGCAGCTTGGGAGAGGTAATCCCACACTGCCAGAGTCCTGGATCCTTGCCCATAGGATCTTTCTTTGGAGTGCAGTTGAGTTGTCATTCCCTTTTCCATCATCTCCTAACCTCTTATTGATGGGGGTTTGTCCCTTGGTTTGTGGTGTGGGTGGGCACTGGAAGGATTTGTGATCTGTGGAGCAGGATAGGCAGGATTGAAGTTTATTGAGCACATGCACAGGTGTTGTCTGGTGGTGCTCTGTCACCCTCCAGTCCAACGGGAGTAGAGAGAGCAGACAGGCATCACGCAGGGTCCTTGTGCAGGGGCTCCACACCCCTGCAGTCTTGACTGGGGGTGGGCACAAGCACGGCCCCAGCCTGCTCCCACCCTCTCCCTCTTTCTCTGGCAGATCCACTCGGACTCGGATGAGGGAGACGGCTCCATCAAGTACACTATCTCCGGGGAGGGTGCAGGGACTATCTTCCTCATCGATGAGATCACAGGTGACATCCATGCCACCGAGCGCCTGGACCGGGAGCAGAAAACCTTCTACACGCTGCGGGCACAGGCCCGTGACCGGCAGACAGACCAGCTGCTGGAGCCCGAGTCGGAGTTCATCATCAAGGTGCAGGACATCAATGACAGTGAGCCACGCTTCCTGGAGGGGCCCTACATCGGCAGTGTGGCTGAGCTGTCCCCCATCGGTAGGTCTCCTGGGTGGGAGGATCTGGGTTGGGAAACCTGTGCCTCTCTTCTGTCAAACCTTGAGCCTGCTGTACCCCGCAAAACCACCTGCAAATCCTAGGGATTCCAGAGCTATGGAGCCGAAAGGGAAAAATAAATAAGGTGGCTTAAGAAAAACAAGTGGATAAATCCTCTGAGCTGATTGCCAGCCTGTGGCTGAGCACTCACTCAGTCTCAGCCATAAGCTGTGCTCTGGGGACAGGCTGTGGTGGTGCCAGCTGCTGGCTGCGCATTGACTCTAGCTTTGCACAGCCCCCTCGCTGGGAGGTTGGACTAAGCCCTTGCATGCCAAGGGTCTGATGTCTGCCTGTGGTTCAGATTAGCCTGTGTGGTGTTTCTCCCCCTCCTCAGGCCATCCTGTATGTGCTGCTTTGCTGCTCTTCTGAGCCCCGTGGCTGCCCAGCCATCAACCCCTTGTGTCTCCTCATGCAGCTCTGCCAGGCACCTCTCAGCTGAATCCATCCCACTCCAAGGGACCAGGCCTTGTTGGCTGAGATTGGGGAATTCACATCCCTGTGACAGAAGTGTGGCTTCCCTTGGACAGGGTGCCCAGGGAAGTAGTGGATGCCCCAGCCCTGGTGGTGTTCAAAGCCAGGTTGGATGAGGCCTTGAGCAACATGGTCTAGTGGGGAGGTGTCTCTGCTCATGGCAGGGGGTTTGGACTAGATAATCTGTAAGGCCCATTCCAACCTTTACCATTCTATGATTCCCTGTGTTGCCCTTAACTGCCCATCCCCTTGGCACCAGGCCCCTTTTAAATCTGTTGGTGAACAGCCTCACTGAAGCACTGGGGGCCAGGCTGGGGTGTGTATGACAAAGCTGCATGAGTCTATCCCCCTGGGACAGGGAGCAAGGGTAGTTGGCTTTGTGCTCACTCAAGCATTGGGAGAGGTGCAGGGATGGGATGTGTGAGCTGCAGCACTGCTGCCCTCACTCCCTGTGCTGGCCTGGTGCTGTGTTCCTGTGCACAGCTGGAGTCCAGGAGAGTTGCTGGTGCTGCACTGCCCAGAGCCATGCTGTTCCCTGCCCACACCAGGCTCTATGTTATCCCCATTGACAAGCCGGAGCTCGTAGCAGGCTGTGTGTCAGCGTGTGCTGCAGGCAGGAACTGTAAATCACTGTTCCCAAAGGCTGTGTCCAGGTGGAAGACAACCTGTGAAAGGCTGACATCAAAGATAAGGCAGGACCCCAGCATTGTCAGCTAGGGATGAGTTGGCACAGAGGACAGGAATGGTGCCAGGACTGCAGCGAGACCCCAGGGTGGGGGGAACAGGCTGAGCTGCACCAGGGGCTCGACAGGTCAGGTCAGGTGAACCAGGTCCTGCTGTGCTGCTGCAGGAAGGTCTGAAGCAGAGTGCAGGGAATGGTGTTTGGATCTGTGCTGCCTCAGGACAGAGCTCTGTCTCTCTGTGGTTAATGTGCAGCATATTGCAAGGCTGGTGCGTGGCCTCCAGCAGGTACAGATGTACAGGAATTGCCTGCACCAGAGGAACTGCTGCTGCCTGGATTCTGTTGATGTATGGAGAATGAGCTCTCCTGAGGCATCCCAAGCTCGCCTTCCTCTTCCAGTTACCTGCACAAATCCTCCCTTCAGTCAGAGAGTGACCCCTTGAACTACAACCATGTGCTCCTGGAGAAATGAAAGACAGCATGTGGGCACCAAAGCAGGAGGCATCCTGTTCCCAAAGGGAAGAAAGAAATTAAATTAATCTAATTTGCTTGAACAACATTTTAAAAAGCAAGGATTTCTCAACTTTGAGTATTAGACAAGGATCCCAGTTCTTTGAAAATCACTAACAATTATGGAGCTGCCTGATCAGACTGATGTGAACAAGACATATCAAAGGAGACAGTTTCTATGCGAAATTGGAGATCAGAGGGAGAAAGAAACACGGTTTCACAACATGAAAGGAGGCGATTCCTGCAAATTAAAATACTTGGAAGTTAAAAGTAAAGAGAAGTGCTGTGAACAGCGTGGGCTGCACTTCCAAGCTGCGTGCTTAGAGAGGGGAGCTGGAGCCAAGAGTCTGTTCTGCTTACCAGGCTGTCTGCCTGCAACAGCCCTGGAGCCTTCGGCAGCCTGACCATCCTGGGGAGTGTACAGGCTCCTTTGCAGCAGCCTCACCCTGGAGATGGCCCAGGGAGAGCCTCACACATCATCTTCACGTGGTGTTACTCATGGGCCCTGGCAGTGTGAGTGCAGAGCTGAAGGGTACCCACATGCTGCTGCTGCAAGTCCCCAGCTCGGCTTACCAGTGCTGTGCCTAGGAACAGGCAGCACGAAGGACAAGATGGACACGTCCTGTGAAAGCATAAACAGGCAAGCCTGATAAAGAGCTTTCTGCTCAACCCTCTGAGGTTCAGCACTTGGGAGGGAACTTGGGGCTGGTCATGGACCTCGTGTGAAGTTCAGCTCTGGATGCTGTAGGTAGGGCTGAAGGTACAGGAATGGGCAACTGCCTGGCCCAGGGAGGTGAAGCTCAGGATATTTTTATGGGAAATGCCTTGCCAGGCTTTTTTTGTGTGAGAGGGCTCATTTTGTGGCATCAAGGCTGGGTACAGCTATGATCATGACTTTGTTGTGTTTGGTATTGGTAGTGATGTTTTCTGTCTCTGAGCTGGACAGATCATCTCCCCTAGTCCTGAAGGACATTTTCACCAGAGAGAACAGGGAATGTGCCTTGCTGCCTTCCTGAATGTGGATGGAGGTGATCCCCTATGCTGACCATGGGGCTGGGATGGGGCCACTCCAGGGTCAGGTCTGCTTTCCAGCTTGGAGCTTGTTTGTAGAGAACTGCTCGTTCCCTGTTTCTGCTGCTCTGACAACCTTTGCTCTGCAGCCCAGCTTGAAAAGTGAAGGGTGACCCCTTCTTCCTCCTCTCATGCTCCTGCCTTCCCAGACCTCGCTGGGGTTTGTGCTTGGGTGGTTTTTGTTCTCACTCAAGGCAGCTCTCAACTGCACTCTCCATTCCCTGCCAAAAGCAGAGTCCTAGATCCCAGAGGTGGGTGCCTTCCTGGGGCGTGAAGAGGAATAAACCAAATACAGTCAGATCCGCTCTCTGACAGCAGGAGCAGATCAAAGGACATTATTTGCATAATGAAGGAGTACTAATTGGGAGGGAAAGTCATTTGATTTCCTAGTGTCTAAGAGGGAATAACAAATGAGTGAACTGCACAAACTCTCAAAGTAACTGAGAGTGCTTTGCAACGCACCTGCCCTTTGCTCTCCACTGGGGCCAGGGCAGTGCCTTTTGGTAGACAGCATCTGTGCTGCTTGAGACTGTGGGACTAAGTCAGGGTGGACTAAAGGCCTCCTTGATCCAGGATCTTGTCTTGACAGTGGTCAGAGTGCATGCTTAGAGAGGAAGGAGCAACACATACAGCATGTGTGATGCTCCTCTTAATACTCTCCCAGCCAGCACCTAGTTTCAGCTTGGGAATTTCTTCAGCTGTAGGTTGTTTCTGTAGCTTTAGTCAATATTTGTGTCTGTCTTCCATGAATTCATCCAGACTTACTGCAAAAAAAGGAAAGGAAAAGGTATTCCTATTACTGTCTCATGGATCAAAAGTGGAAGATGCAGGATGGTCAGGAATGTAAGACCAGAGTCTAGGATTTGTAAATGGCAGAGGTGGTGCCTGGAGCTAATCCCAGCCCATGAACCAGGCTGGAGAAGTCAGTGTTTTCTACACACTGAGCTCCTGCACTTGGAAGAAGCACATCCAAAATGGAAGCTGACCCAGCATCTTTACCTGAGCTCCCCTGCTATGGCAGAACCTGCAGCAAAACCAGACTGCAGGTGGCTTTTCTCTAGAAACCTTATCTGGTCTGAGGCACTGGGAGCAGTAGTGCAGCTGCTGCAGGATGTTTTGCAGTAGGAGGGCCTGGAGGCAGTGCCTGGTGCTGTTGAGGTGCAGAGGAGTCAGTTGGACCTGGGGCTGGCAGAGAGGGCAGCTGGGGCTGTGTTGGGGCAGAGGGATCCCTGCTCAGCCCCCCAAGGGAGCAGGGCTGGAGGCAAGGGTCATGCAGGCTGAGGAAGGCAGGGGCTGGTGGTGCTGCTTGGGTTCATTTTTGCTGACTTCCCCTGTACCTGCACAGACACTCCAAGGAGAAGTCTGTCTGAATGATGGGAAGTGAGCTGCAAACCCTGTTGCAGCTCCACTGCTGTCCTGTACCTCAGGGAGAAGCTGCTGGCCAAGAGTTTGCAGGCTGCCCTGTGCTGGCAACCGAGGCTCAGCCTCTGTGGGTACCCCAGTGCAGATCACTCGAAAACATCTGAGTTGAGCAGAAACCAGAGCCAAAGGGAGATACCTGCAGCTGCAGAATAAGGTATGATGGGACCCAGCCAACTAACTGCCTGGGAACTGCAGGAGCTTCACCTTGTAACAGGAGATGCTAAAATTAGCTGTGTTTTGGGCTCCTTTCCTGAGCTCCCTGGGGTCTGCTTAACAGCTGTCTGCTGCACTCAGGCATGAGCCCAAATCCAGCACATGGTGCCTCCTGCAAGACAACTTTGTTGGTTGCACAGGGTGGGTGTTGCAGTCCAGAGCTATCTTCTGGGCTTTTTGGGGAGCATGCAGGCCTGGAGTGAGGAGCATGTCAGGAAATGTGTATCTTTTCATCAGAATGTCAGTCCTCCCTTGCTGCAGTTTGCTCTCATTTCTCTGTGTAGCACCATGTCCAGATTAGAGACGATTTGGCTGTACAGACAGAAACTTGGGGTCAAGTCCTGACTCTAGCACAAAGCTGGCTGAATGCAGAAGTGATTATTGTGAAGAGAAATTGTTTAATCTCCATGCCGGAAGCAGAGAAAAACACTCTGTTTACCATGCAGTCAGAACACTTGCAGGCAGTCTGATTTTTTTTTTCCTTGATAGAAAGTGCTTTAAACACTTGTATGCATCTGGAAGCTGCTGAGACAGCAAGTGGCTGGGAGCTGTGGCTTGCCCTATCTGTTGGTCCTCAGTGAGACAAACCCTTTCCCTTCTGCACTGCACTCTGGGTCATGGTGCAGGCTCCAATCCCTCTACCTTGCCCATCTGAGCACCCTCGTCCAGTCTGCATGTGCCCAGCCCCTCAGGGAACCTTCATGCTTTGGTCCCAAGGCACTGCATTTACCTGGTTGGTGCTGGGTCTGGGGTGCCTTGTGCAGTGGGTTTCTCTGGCCAGACACCCCAAAGGATGTTTCACAGTTGCACATTTGAGTGTTGTACCTGCCAGGTTAGCACCCTCAGGCTCGTCCTGCGGGGGGTGAGGGCTCTGCAGTGAATCTCCTCTGGGTCTGATTTGGCTTTCTACCAAGTCAGGATGTTCACGAGATTGCAAGAAACTCACTTCTGCTCCAGTAATTTTTAAACTCCTCTGGTTCGTTTTCTTCCCTGATGTCCTGTCTACATGTTTCTGGGATGCATAAGGCACTGCAGTTGTTGGGGCCAGATGAAAGCTGTAAATTTCATTGTTTATAAAATCCCAGTTGCCCCCTGTCCCACAGCACCCAGGCTCCTGGGTTGGGAGTGCTGCACACTGGCATCAGGCCAGGGCACATGGCTTTGCATGATGCAGCACTCCTTGCAGGGTCCCTCACATTCTGCAGGGCTGAAATGCCTGAGTGCTGTCTTGGAGCTGACCAGTTCCATACAGAAAAGGCTCTCAGCATGGATGGAGAGTGTCCTTGGGCTCAGCCTGAGCTAGAGGTGCTGGAAGAGTCCCAGAGCTGGTCTGGAGAGTGGCTGAAGGCTTCTGCCTCCACCATGGAAGGACAACTTCTACCGTGAGGAGGCACAGTCAAATTTAGCAAGTGTTGGCTTTTCCTGCTGCTCATTTGCCTCTTTGCTGGGCTGGAGCCTGGCTGTACTTCTGTCCCTGGGGAAGTGACAGGTCCCAGTGACTTGCTTGTGGATTCAGTGCAGGGCCTCTCTGCTCGTGGATCTGTTTGGAGTTTGCCTGTCAACATTTCTTTTAAGCTAAACGTGTTTGGAGTGAGTGGCATAGCAAGTGGTCTGGAGCTATTAGCCTTCTGCATGCAGGGTCGCTGGAACTGTCCCCAGAGGCTCTGGGTCCTGTGGGAAGGCAGTGACAGATGCTAGGACAGATCTGCATTGGTATTCCAAAGGTGCTCTGCAGAGCCCAGGACCTGTGGAGCCCCATCCATCCCAGCCAGGGCACTGGGCTGAGCTGCTGTGCCCAGCCAGCCCCAGGGGCAGCTCGGCATGGTGAGGTGGCTGCAGGGGCTGAGCTCTGCACTCATGGGACAGGACCCTGCAGGGACATTGTTCCTCCATCCCACCATCTCCTGGATGCATCACCAGCAGCTCTCAGTGTGGGCAGCCCCTCTCTGCCCTGCTGACCCTGGCTCACAGCAGAGAAGTGATGAGCCTCTGCAGCCAACGGAGTTGAGGGCTGGCTGCTATCCCTGGCAGGTCTCCAGGACGGCTCAGGGTGCAGAATGGGGACAGCCCAGGCAGGGCTCATGGGACTGGTGGATGGCTGGCAGCCAGGATCTGCATTCCCTCCTGCACCTGGTCCTTTGGATGGAGAGTCAGCCAGGCTTGGAGGAGGAGTGCTCTGTATGTGAGGGTCTTGCTCCCTCTTTCATGGTTTGTTTGATCCACTGTGCCAAATCACACCTTTGCGAAGGGAGAGGAAGAGGTGGATTCTGACTCATTAATCTTTATGTAAAGTTGTTGGTTTCCTCTGTATCTGTGGGGTGAGCTGGCCAGGGGAGGAACCAAGGTCTTACCTCGTTTTACATGTCTAATTGTGTCTCTGGATACGAGCTCAACCTTCTTGGTTATGGGAGGCGGGTGATACACTGCATGATGGATGTTTAGATTTTATTTAGTGTATCTTTTATGGCTAAGACACGTGCCAGAAAACTAAATAAAAGCTGTACATGCTGTACTTGCTGTGGGCAGTGCTATGCTTGGAGAGCAGGGACTAATATCAGAGCAGGGTGGGAGCCAGGGAAGGATTGTCTCTGCAGGAAGGAGGGGACCAGGTTAAACTGGAATTCCAACCCATTATTCTTCATATGGAAAGAAAGGAGTAGGAAGGGGTGAAAAAGGGGTAAGTGGAGGTTAGGAAAGTTGGACTCCTAGATACCCTTTAGGTGACCTTGAGCAAGCTACATTGCACCTTCGCAGACTAGAAGTCAAGGCATAAAGCAGGGTCAGTGTTCCCCACCTGCCTGTTGTTGCTCATTTATTAATGAGATGTGGATCTCCTAACCTTAGGCAAGAACAAGTGGTTCTTGGAGCGTGGGATGTTTATGCAAGCTCAGCAGGCTCTGCCTGTGGTGGTGTTGGGTGTGGGTGCAGGGGTGGGTGCTGCTGTGGGCACTGGGCATGGGCTCCCAGCTGATGCTGCCAAGGTGAGCAGAAGGAGCCCTGCCTGTTGCCAGGGGAAGGTACTGCTTTTTGTGGTTCTCAGACTTCGGCACCTCCAGCATCCCCAGCAGGCTCCTCTGCTGCAGCTGGGAGAGGGGTGCTTGGAGACTCTGGTGCCATTTCTCTTCTCTAGTCCCTTTGCTTTCTCATCAGAAGCTTCCCAGGGGAACATGCCAGGATGCCCAAGGGGATGTGCAGTGCTGGCGTGGGGGTGATTTGCCATGGCTCATACCTGCTGAAAGAATTGTGTGATGGCAAGGAGAGGAGGAGGAGGAAATGCAGCAATAGTATTTCTTAAACAGTTGTTTGCAAGGCAGAGAGCTAGTGTTGCCGTGGTGTAATCTGGACGTGCCTGGCAAGGATGCACCATAACTTCACTGGAGACAGCAAAGCATAAATAAGTTGACTCGAACTAGCTTGTTGCTGAAGACCGATGAGGGGGATTCTTCTGTTATCAGCAGAGCTGCAGCTCTGAGAAGACTGCCAGGGAGAATGAAAAGCAACCATGGTAACTGCTCGTTTTCTTCAGTGAACACCCTTTCCAGGAGATCAGAGTGAACTGGACTGGGGGGAGCCTGAGCATCGCAGCTGCTCACAGCAGCTCTGCTGTTTATGCTGTCTCGTCTCATGCCCAAGTCCAGGAAGGGCTGGTGCAGGAGCACCCTGGCTTGCCTGCAGGCTTGTGGTCTCCTGGCAAGGGAAGAGGAAGGCACCAGGGACTGGAGCTCCTCATCTTCATCTGTGTGGTTTCAGCTCCATTTCTGCCTGCCATGACATAGGAACAGAGGCTGCCTCTGACTTTGTGTTTTTCTGTGCTTGACCTCTGTGGCAGGGATGCACTGAGTCTGGTGCTAGAGATGGAACTGGGCAGCCTGTCCTCACAGTGCTTTGGTCACACTCCCTCCTTTCTCAAGGTGCCTGTAGGTAGGATTGGTCTTCCCCTCCTTCCTCCCTTCTGCTGTCTCTGTAGATCTCAGTCCCTTTGCTCCTGGCCCCATCCTCATGTCCTGGGTCCTGCTTTTGTCAAATTGAACATGATGTCAAATTAAAGCCATCACAGGGACAGTTGGAGTGAAGTACCCAGTTTAATGAGGCAGCCTTGAAAATCAATAACTTAATTGCAGACATTTGATGGACTTTTATCCAATTTATAGTCCTCCTGCCCTGCTACGTGTAGAGCATGAGGACGTGGTACTGTGTCTGGCTCTGGGAAAGCAAAAAGCCTTTCCTCTCCCACAGCTGTTGTGGCTGTGCAGGTCTGCCTGCTGCAGGGTGGTGCTGCAGTGTGGATCAGGCTCTAGCTGGAAGGATCCCTGGGTGGGCTGGAGGTGACCATGGTGCACTGTGTTGAGAGGAAGGGCAGCTGTGGGTAGAACATCTCATCCCAGGTCCTTCTCAGATGGTCCAATAGAAGTCTACTGGGAGAAAAGCTCCCAGCTGTTCAGGCCAGTGATCTCGTGGAGAGCAGGTCCTGCCTCAAGGTGGCCCAAAGTCCTGTCCCTCCCCTTACCCTGCAGCACAAAAGGGGCATTTGCAGCAGTGTCTGGAGTCCTGGCTCTCAGCCTTTTGAGGGGAGGTGATGCTGCTGTTGTTTCCCTCAGCATTTGCAAGCAATCGGTGTTGGCGTCTGCTCTGAGGTTTGTGTTGCTCTTCTCAATTTCTCCCTGACTTTCTGTTTTCCTCCTTGTCCCTGCTGCAGGCACCTCTGTGATGCAGGTGATGGCCTCTGATGCTGACGACCCCACATATGGGAGCAGTGCCCGGGTAGTCTACAGTGTGCTGGAGGGTGAGCAGCACTTCACTGTGGACAGTAAAACAGGTGAGCAGCACCCAGCCAGGCTGGGGCAGGGGACCTGGGCATGGCTGTGAACCAGGAGGTCTGCACTTCCCTGCTGGCCACTGATGCTGGGTACCCATGGCAGGGGCATTACTGGGTGGGTTACATGGCAGGGGTGTTGGAGAGGGAGCTCTGCAGCCCTGAAGATTGCTGCCCAGCTCCATGCCCTTCAGCTAGCCCAGAGTGCCCAGCTTGCACCTGCACTCGCCAGAGCTCCTCTGTGCCTGGAGCAGGAGTGCACCCACAGGCACATAAAATCTCAATGTAGGTTTAAATACTACCAAAGGGGCCTTACCAAAGGCTGTATCGTTATCACCATGGCTTTGATTAAAGGTAACACTTTAAATTAAGGATCGGTTTATAAATGTTCTATTAATATTTAATGAAAGAACAGTAGAAGCTGCTCCATTCCTTAATAACTTATAATAGAGCCTGTTGTAAAATGCCTCTGTAATAAATCCCTGGCAGATGATGCTCTGACATACTGGTTAGAGTAGACCATAACCAGAAGATGTTGGGGTATATATTCTCCTTGCCTCCCAGGAGTGTGACTCTCATTACCCTTAATGGGAGCCTCACGAGCTTGCTAAGGAGGGAAGACACTCAAATGCTAATAAGAGATATTTAAGGCACAAAGCATGCAGTAAAGTACCCACAGTTTAATGAAAAATTGTCAAAGGACAAGCAGGCTGGGGAGCTGCAGCTTGTGCTGGAAAACTGGACTGTGAAGTCTGCCCCACCCTATTGCTGAACCACAGTGACACAGGCTGAGATCAACCCCTGGGCTGAAGTGCCAAGTCTCTGTCAGGCTGATCTGTGTCTATGCTGATAGATATTTTCTAAGGCTGTTTTTATGTAAGTCAGAGTGAAATTTGTTTGGAGACCCTGGTGTAAGGAGAATGGTAAGGAAGGTCTGTGTGCCTCTGCATCTGCATGAAACCATGTGCCTCCTGACAGTGGTCTGGTGCACATGGGGAACTCAACCACAGCCCTGGCTGTGCCACCAGCCTGGCTGCCACTGGAGCAAGGCTCAGATGTGGGAGCTCCTGTGCACACCCGACAGCAGCCCCGGGGTACGTGGTGGGAAATGTCTTTGTCTGGACAGAGGCTAGTGTAGTGGGGAGAGGGCATAAGCAGCAGATTTGGGCTGTATCTGCCTTTGGCTCAGGAGCTTCTGCACCTAGGCTCTCTTCTCTCGCAGATTTACTTTGTTTTATGCTGTGTGTGTATATGAACAATAGGCTAAACACTGAAAATTCAGGTGCCTGTGAGAACCTGTTAATCTGAGGCAGCTTTGTGTGAGTGGAAGTCTGGCTGCTAGAATGGAGAAGGACCACTGGGAGTAAACTGCACAAGCCAGGACGTGCAGAGGCTCAGCTTCCTGCCACAACATTAATACTCTGTATTAAGGTGTAAACTAAAATGTGCCCTGTGGGACTGTGGTGAGAATTAATGTCACTCTGGGAATCCAAGCTTCTTGATTCCTTGACTTTTTGTGTCTTAATTCTCAAGCTGGCTGTTTCATACACTGGGGGGTTCGTTTACTGTTCTACTAGCTTGTGGTTCATAAAAGAAAAACTGCTGACAGTCTGCAGAAGAGTCCTCAGCACCACTCGAGCACGTCTGTTTCCAGGATATCTGGCCACTAACGCAGGTGCTGGGGCTGACTCTGGTGATGTCTGAGCTGCAAATGGCCTTTGGTAGCTTCCTCACTGGGGCTGCAGAAACATGGGGTGCAGCTCTGCCCGTTGGCAACTCAGGTTGTGGCTGCAGCCTGACATGTGGCCTTGTGCTTTGCTGTCAGTGCTGGCCCACCTGGATGCAGAGGTGCCAAGGGGACACAAGGTTTCATCATGCCCAACCAAGTATACCCCACCCTGCTCCCACTCTGCTTTAGGATAAGTTTTTAGTGCTTCACATGGGAATCCAGGTCTGACTGCCCTGGGTGGCCCAGCTTCTGCCCTGAGCATAAGATTTAATTATCCATAGCAGCAGCATAACTCTCAGAGCCACCATTGTTATTAATGGCCATAAAAAGAACTATAAAAACCTGTCATATTACATTTCTTATAATATATGGTAATGAAGAACAATTTGTTTTCCCTTTTTGGTTTTGACCTCTTTCTCTGCCATTTTTTGCAGGTCCATGCATGCATGTGCTCCCTTGCACACCACCTCCACCCCTGACTCCTTCCAGCACGGGTTCTTTCTTTCCTTCTTGCCTTTGCAACCAGCTCTTTTCACACCCCCCTTCATAGCATGGGTGGCATGTGCAAGAGTGGTTTGCACACTTGAGTACAGGATATGGACCATGTATAGCTTAGTTTTTCTCCTGTTCTTGGATGTTACTAGCTGTAGTGTTCAGCTGGGATTTCGTGTTCAATGGATCTTTCACAGGCAGACCCAAACTGTTTGGATACTGTGCTATGCCAAGTCCTGCCACACAGCAAGCACTGAATGCCCACAGTGTCTCAGGTGTCTTTTTGGAGGGAGATGAGTAACTAAATGGCTCCACTGGAATAGTGGGAACAGCAGCATGGTATTTGTGCTGTAGAGTGATTCCAGTTTTGAATAATGGTGAAGAGAAATCACAGCTAATGCACATGTGCTTTTCTTTCTTTCTTGTATAACAGCCACTGTCATGCATTGAGAATTAATTTTCAGAGACTGAAACTTGTGTTGTGTACCCCAAAACAGGTTCAAGAAGTTCCCCTGAGCGTGTTGAAGGTCTAGGCTGGCTTTTTTGATGTGTGAGTAGGGAGCTTTGTATGCACAGACTTTGGAGGCAAGATTTTCTGTGCCAGCCATAAGAATACCCCCATGGCTTCTTGCAAGAGCCTGCAGGCATTAGTCCTATGTAAGCTTTGTGCTGCCTTCCTCACTCATTCTCAGTTTGCTGACATGGTGCAGCTGATCTTTGCTCTTTGCAGCAGCAGAGCTGCAGTGCCCAAGCCGTGGCTGCCTTGTTCTGCTGGAGGAGGTTGTGCTTTCACAGCGACCAGCACATGTCTCTGTACCACTGCTTCTGTTGGGAAACAGCCACTTGTTGGCTCTCTGTGAGAGCACTAATCTGACTGCAGAGCCCCTTCACTGCTGCTGGGCCATGAGCCCAGCTCTCCCCAGAGGGACATGGGGCAGGAGGTTTACTGTCAGCTCCTGTTCCAACTCCAGGAATCTCATCCTCACCAAGATTCTTTGAGCTTATGCTTTTGACATTCAGAGATGGACACATGGGTGCGTGACTCCCAGTGCATTTACGTGAGAGGAGAAATCTGTGTGTTTAAATCTGCAGACCATGTTTTCGTGTTGCTTTATATTACCCTGCACTCTCTGTACCTCTGCCGATTATTCACCTTTAAAGGGACAAATCTCTCCTTTGGCAGACAGCTCTGCCTGCCTGCTTATGTCTTTTCCCATGTCCTTTGCAGTGCCCTTTCTCATCCCTGGCCAACCTGGCTGGAGACTCACTGCTGCCTGTGATCCCTGCCCACAGCCATGGGAGGGAACCTAAAAATGCTCATGAGCCAAGGAGGGACACAACCTGGTGCTGCTGGCTCCAGCAGTTTTGTTCATCCCCTTGCAGGGATATTGACTGCTACAGAACAGTCACAGCGTTCTGTTCACAGGCCTCATGATACTTGGCGCTTTCCTTAAAAGTCAGCTTGTCAGTTTGGGAGAGTGCATGGAAACCTGGCTTTTTACTGAAAGGAAGAGTTTGTTCTTAAAATCTATCATTCTGCTGAATGCAGGGAAAAGACAGGAGGACTCAAAGGGTAGCCGGAATGCAGTCTGGCATTTATGATGACTTAAAACAGCTCCTGAGTTCTAGAGCCTCTGTCCTGATTTGAAGACTGAGCTGGTAAGGGCTTAGAGGTTCTTATGCCAGGGAGAGCAAGACTAGAGATACTGGCCTGATGGGATGAAGCTGATGGTTATTTGTATGCAGTTGTTAGCTGTTTCATCCCTACCTGTCAGCTTTACCTTGTTTGAAGACCAACCACAGCCCCGGTCCAGGGGCAATAAGGCTGGACTCGGAGAAGAGCTCTGCCTGGGAGCACACTGAGCTGGGATGCTGGATCTGTGTGTTGTGGTGGTGGGAGGCAGAATGTGTTTCTCTGCTGCTCTTCCCAGTTTATTAAAAACGATCCTCGGTGCCTGGAAACACAGATATATCAGTATGTGCGTGTTCCTGTAAGCTCAGGGGTTTGTGCAGGTCTGTGCTCTATCCCATCCCTTATTCACCAGAGCTGTGTGCAGGCTTGATGGACTCTGAGCATGGGGCACGAGAGTCTGCAGAGAAGCCATGCTTATCTTAGGAGATTGCTCTTACTAGCAAGACTGAATGTTAACAGTCCTTTTTGGAGACTGGTGCAGGAACTTCAGCTGGTTTGAAACCAAACTGTATGCTTGGTTGTCTTGAAGAAATTAGAGTGCATCTACTAATGTGCAGAAGGAATAAATGTTATATGATGAGGGATTTAGCTGCTAAAAGAAGGCATAAAGGAAGGGCAAGTATGCTGGCCTGTCTGTTGGAGTTCACTGTGTGTGCCTCCCTCCAGGCTCTCTTCACTGGCATGGGCAAGGCTGATTCCAGCCTGGAACAACTCCTCTTAGGTGCTCCTCTCTGAGCAGTGGCAGTAGCTCTGTTTCTGTGGGTGGTGCCCTCGAAGATACAGGGCACACTGGTTTGAAAAGGCCTTGGCCACCTGCTATGAGTTGTGCTGTGTTAGAAATTTCCAGTTGCAACATCACTGAGCCACAATAGTTGTATGATTCTGTACCCTTCCAGTTAACTTTGGTTGGCTTGGCTATACTGGTGCAGCCATGTTTCCATTTCTGGATATCAGCTCTGTACCTTATTTGCTGACGAGTCATGAACCTCCTGAGCCTTGTGTCTAGTACCTCCCTCAGACCACCTGTAGCTTCTGCCTCAGATTGTGCTGAGCTGAAGGACAGGAGCAGGGACTGTGCGTGGAGGAAAGATGAAGCGCTCGTTTTGGGTCTAAGACCTCCAGGATGTGTGTCTCTAGCAGCACTTGTGCCTTGGCAGATATATTGGCATTTCTGTGTCCCTGCAGGCAGGTGAGGGCACAGGTGAGGAATCTGCAGTCTGTTTGGCAGGTGCCTTGCCACCCCTGGCCTGAGGCAGGGATGGGTTTGCTCTAACTGAGCAAGCTGCTAGGGGAATGAATCTGTTTTATCCAGCTAAATGGGAGGGGATAGAGAAGACAGATCCAGACTCTTCTCAGGCATACACAGTAAAAAGGCACAAGTGGCAGGAAGAGAAGGCTTGTCATCATGAAGGTGACATTTCCATCCCTGAAGATACTAAAAACCTGATTGTTCATGGCCCTGGGTAATCTAATCTGCCCTTAAAGATTGCCTGCTTTGAGCTGTAGTTGGACCAGGGACCTCCTGAGGATAGGTCCACGTTTGTTACTCCATGACTTTCTGGCTTGTTGCCCCTCCTGCCCTCAGCTGAAAGGTGCCTTGTCTGGATGGTCTCTGAGGATGTGGACATCTGGCCTAGAAGTACCTGAGAGCAGAGCAAAGCCCATAATGATGGGATTCCTGGAAGGCTGTTACCTGCTGAGTGCTTCGTCCTGCTTTGTTTTTATCACCCAAAGAGTATCTGCTGTGGGAGCAGATTTGATGGTATTTATGTGATGCTGTAAGTGTCCCCTTGCCTGGTAATTATACTGATTAATCTGGATCATGCTGGAAAGCCACATGTGCCTTGTACCAGAGGGTATGCCACCACGCGTCCGCATTATTCAGCTATAACAGATGCTGACAAGAACTGGGTAGACGAGTCTGAGCTGGAGGTTGTTCTTGCTTTGCTAGCAGTGTCTGAGAAGGACTAAGTTTGTCAGGTTTTCCAGCTGGAAAGTAAGTGAATCTTGGGAGATTATAGCAATGACTTTTCCATGCTCTGCATGCAGCAGCAGAGGTGCCTGCCTCTCCTCTCTGTGCCCTGAGGACAGGCCTGTCACCATCCCTTGCAGCTGATTTGCAGAGGCCCTGAGGGTCAGGTCTTGGGAGCAGAGGCTGTCCTAGCTCAGGAGGATAGGACCATGCAGGTTTGCTGCTGGTGGGTGTTTAAGGCAGAATCCATAGTGCCACATTCAAGGAATTGATGTGGAGCATGTGTGGAGATCATGATTTCTCATGGCCACTAGGAAATGGTAAGTGGTACCTTGGCCTAAAAGGCAAAACCAGCCTGACTTTTGGGGTTGTGGCCTGGTGTTGCCCATGCAATCTGAGAACAGCCTCACACTGACAATCCTGCTGAGGCTCCTGGAGATCTGAGCCATGGAGCAGTTTGTCTGCATCAGACCTCTACTTTTCCAGGATTTTCCTTTTTCAAGGACATGGCACATTGAGAGAGAGTCTCTGATCAGTCTGCACCCCTGCCAAAGGCAAGGATTTTGTCTGCCTTGGGCTGCTGAAAGAACCAGAGCTGGCTGGGGCCATTTGCCCTGCTCTGCATGTGCCAAATGGCCTGGACTTGCTGTCCATTGGGACGAGTGACCTTGGAGGTGTTCTGGGAAGTGCCTGAGCACTTTCCTCCCATCTTGCATGGCGTATTATGAGCTATATCATTACGAGCAGCACAGTTAAGTCATTACAGCCTTGGTGAATGCATGAGCTTTTTCCCTCTCATCCCAATTCATCACTATTGTGCTGACATGAATCATTTTCATTATAAAATGCTTCAGACCCTGTTAATTAACAGAATTGCTTAAATCTCAATGAGATAGTACTTGCCCAGAAATAACGGTTTTGTATTCACAGTGGAGTGGCAGGAGAGGCCTGTCAGCATCAGCAGCTGGGGCTGGTCCCTGAGCCCTGGGTGCTTGTGCAGGGCTGGTCCTGCTGCCCAGGTGGGAGGGTTGTATCCTTGCTGGGATGAGTGCCCAAAGGCATGTTCTTCCTGCCCTTAGCCCCTCTGTATGAGGTGAGGTTGGACTCCTTGTCAAATGGCTTCCCCTGAGCAGAGCCAGGATGAATGAGGGGGGCAGAGCAGACTCTGGGCCCCATCACAGGATAAATATCCACTCCCTGATCCGTGGGGCTGCAGACAAGGGAGTCCAGGTAATTATGGAACTTAAAGTGACAGAGGGAAGCTGGGTGAAATTGTGCCTATCCATGAGAGCTGGAGAATGGTAAGGACCTGAAATGGTGGTTGTGTCTTTATAGTAAATCCTAACAATGATAATCATTAGAATAATTGCTAGTTTCAGAAAGGAAGGAGTGATAAATGCCAGCTCCTGCTGCACCTGTAATGTCATGCAAAGGGTAAGGGGGAGGAAGTTCATCCTCCCAGCTCAATGGCATTTCTGACTGCCTTTGGGCCACAGCACCAGTGTCTCCATGGTGTGAGTCTTTATCAGAAGGTGCACAAGGTCATGCCACACTCCTGAAGAGGGAAACTGGCAACCTGCTGTCTGTGGAGAGCTAATACCTGGAAGCCTTGGGGTCTGTCTCTGAAGCCACGTCTTGGCTCCTTGCAGCCTACTGGCACCCAGCTCTCCTGTCCACTGTGCTCAGGTTGTGCTGAGGGCTTCCCAGAGCCAGGTGGCTTGGGGCTGAGATGCTCTGCCACTGCTCACTTTGCTGCATGTCAGCAAATGGCTTGCAAGATGCTCAGAGCTAATGTGTGGTTTTCTGCTGTATGCTCTGCAAGGGAGGAGCTCCCTGTTCCTTCCAGGTCGGACCCCTCACTGGAGACCCATTCTGCCAGCACCTGGCAGGGTTACTGGTGAAACAAAGCAGAGATGGATTTTGCAATTCACGGTAGGAGGAGGTAAAGCTTATAGTTAAATAGAAAACCCTGGAAGAGAGAGGAATTGCAAAAACATAAAACAATGTCTAAATCTGTGGGAATGTTAAAAAACTGAGCTGGAGGGGATTTAAAGCTGATTCCTAGCTGTTCTGGAGTGTTTTTGGTACAGTGGGATTGGAGTGTGCTGCTA